GAGTCTATTATGTTAATTGATTCACTTTCCATTTAAAAACAATATAATCCCCCGTTTCACGCCGTGAATACAGTCGAATACAATAATTTATCCAGCTGTAATCCCACGTTTCACGTCATGAATACAGTCGAAGTACGCTCGAATACAAAAATCTATCTAGGCGTAATCACGCCTAGAAATGATACTGTATTCATGAATACAGTAGCTTAAATACATCGAATACACTCTAAAAAAATCTGAAAACATAGCTATAGGAAGTAATATAGTAAATGGTAGCTACAACTAGCTAATAACCACTAAAACATAGAAATTTCTTAAAGTTTCTCATTTTTTTAATAGAGTAAGTGCTTTAATTTGGGCCAATAAGAAATTGACACGTAATAATTTAATAAATATTTTTAATTAGGAATGAGCCTTTAGTCATAAGGGTAAAATTGAGCCAAAAAGAAGCGCATTAGCTCAATAGGTATCCCGAGGGTATTTTTGCCCCTCACCCTACCGTTCATGGGTAGTTTTAATCCTTTTTCGCTTATAATTCAGTAAATTTAAATTATAATTTACAATAATGTCTGTGAGCACGTGATTTTTGCCGCGCTCGAATTATTACTATAAGATTCATTAGAATTAGGATTTTTCTTTTATTATTTGAATTTTAGGGAATTAATTGCATGATTTCGTGTTTTGTTTGCATTTTTATGTGCATTATTAATTGATATAACTCATGAAAACTACAAAATAGCATGCTTGCATTTAGGACCCATGTTAGTATTTTTATTAGTCAATTAATATTACAAAAATAAAGAAAATAACAAAAAATATCCCTTTTTACATCTTTTTTATCTTTAATTTCGTTTTTATTAGTTTTCTTATAAAAATTAGGATTTAGTGAATTTTAGAAAGTTAATTAGTTTAGTTATAGAATTAAATCAGGTTCTTATTTTAATTTTGTATTAGACAAAACAAAAAAGAAGAAGAAAAGAGAGAATAAATAAAAGAATTGAAAAGAAAAAGAGAAGAAGGATATCAGGCCAGTTAATTTGGGCTAAATATGCATCAGCCCAACGCCAATTCCACCCCAGAACCCATTCAAAATCACCTAGTCCAAGCCCAAAATACCCCACCCGGTCCAGCCCTCAACAACCATAACGACGTCATTTTGTGAGTATGAATCAGGACCGTCGAGGTTTCTTGATCGGACGCTCCTGAAGCCCACATCATTTAATATAAATGTGTCCAAACAACACAACCCCCCCCCCCAGGACCCCTTACCCTCGTCTCTCTCAGACCTCTCATCAGAGACACCTTAGCGCCGCCGTCCTCCACCGTCTGCCGTCGGCCGGAGATCACCTCCGCCGGCGGCGGGTCTCCGATGGCCACCAAAATTTCACCACCGCTGCTCCTTCACCTCCCCTTTCCAAATCCGACCCCCGTTTCCTTCAAATCTCACCCAAACGCGTCGAATAAGCAAAACCCTAGCGCCGCCTCCGCCGTGTCCGGCGGCGCCGCCTCAAAACCCCACCAAACTTACACCCCAGACTCGCCTTACCCTCCTCTTTCCAAATCCACAACCAGTAATCTTCAAATCTTACCCAAAACCCTCAAATTTCAAATCGAAAGTTGGCCTGGAACCCTAATTTCTTAAGACTGTGGGGGTTGCTGATTTATGGGCTATAATAGTCCCTAATCATGTGATTTTTTCATGAAAACACATGATTAGGGATGGTTCTAGTCCGATTAAGTCCAAGAAAATTCGTCAGTGTTCTAGTTTGAAGTGAGCGATTTGGAGGTATTCATTTTCATTTTTACTTTCTCTTCTGTTTTCTTTTCGTTCATGATTTTGATTTTTTATTCTTCTATTTTTACTCAGTATTTCTTTTATTTTACTTTTATTTTTAGGGCTCTGATTTTTATATATATTACAGCCGTATAGTTTTAGTTTCATTCTTATTTTTTTTAATGGTTTGTTTGATTTTGATTCCATGTTTGTTACTGTTTCTATGTGATATTAATTTTACTTTGTTTTCGTTTATTTTGCTATTTTACATTGTAGTTTCAGTTTGAATTGTTTGTTTTTAATTGTTAGTTTACTGTTTATTAGTTCAATGATACATTTAGTCTTAGAATACTTATTAATCAGAATTAATTCAAGGTTAAAATTAGGTTTAGATGGATTTGGTAGTTCAATCTTAGGGGGTTTTGATAATTAGGCCTTGTTTGGTTATATCTGAATAGTTTCCAGGCTTTGGTTGATTAACTATGGTCAGTTTTGATCAAGTTAAAAGGGCTGGGATTAGGTTAACATATGTTAAGTAATTTCAGAACTAATTCAAGGGTAGTGTAGGTATTCCACAATGAAAGAATCTTGCAGTAACTGAATTGGAACCCCCTAGAACCTTCTAGATGGGGGTTCTAATTTGAAATTTAGGAACCTGGTAGTATAACTTGACCAACAAGGCATGAATTGAGGGACTAAACAGTTAAAAACTGAAAATAACAGAGGAACTTAGGGGTAAAACAGAAATCTGAAGGATGCCCTAAGTTTTGCCTATAAAAAGGCATGCTTATTGCCTTGTTTCACAAGTTTTCAGCCTCTAAAACCTTCCCCCAAAAACCATTCCTGAAATCTGAATCAAAGTTTGAATTTCAAATTTTAGAAGTTCAAAAATCTGCAATCTTATAGTTTTTATTTCATTTTCTTTTAGATCTGAATTCCTACTCAAAAAATCCAAAAACAAACAGAAATATAGTAGAAAATCAGAAAAAGAGCACCGTTCCATTGAAACGTTAGGATAATTTCAATCTCTAGTTGTTAAATCACATCTTCTAGTTCAATGTTTGGCTACTGGATTTTCAAAGGTCTATTGTCTGATTTCGAGTAATTTTGAACCTGAGTAAGCTAGTTTTGGTTGAGTTTTGTTTGCTGAAAATTCCAGAAGTGTTCTATGTTCATTTTCAAGTTTTTTTTCTGGGCATTATCAGTGTTGACTGGGGTAGATCTATTGATTCTGTTGGGTTTTGATACATTTCTGGGCTGCTGAACATTTCTGGGCTGCCTTTGATCTCTGCTGTGTATCTGACCTCCAATTCCTCTTATTTTGGTCCAATTTCTAGGTACTCCTTTGGCCTCAACTGACTTGTGAAGGTTGAATCAAATGTGTGATCGAATTTCGGGATAATGATGAAATGTTATATGTTTTCCTACTGTTTTGCTTTGATTTAGGTGACCTAGCACGTTTATGTTATCTGTAATTCACTCATAACATGTTAATTCAAGTGTTACCTTTAGCTTTCATTAGAATCTAGGAATTACTTGATCCGGACCCTCTAATGAATGTAATATTTGGACTGTTGGACTCATTTAGTAGTATTAGCTTTAGTATAATTTAATTTCATTTTTGGACCTGCTATCATGTTAGTTTGGATGATAAAATTGAAATCTAGTGTGTTATATAAGCCAAGTGTTACCTGCAAATGCCTAGTTAAACGGACTTGGATGTTAAAATTGGAATTATGTCTATTTTTAGTTCAATAATTGTTTTAAGTTCTGCAAATGTGCTGTATAAGTTTAAACGTTGTTCTGGAAGTAAAAACCTTAGAATGAGTGGGTGTGGTTCATCAGGATACATACAATTTCAATATGAGCATGAAATTAGACTTAAAATCAGCATGTGAACGGAGTTGAATTGTTCATGCATTCTGTAAAATTATTAGGCTTCATTATGATTCAAATTCAGTATTTCTGCAATCCAATTTAAATTCAGTGCCTGATTTGGGCTCGTTTATGAGCCAAAACATGACAGCCTTTTATTTGAATAAAATCTGGGCGCTGATTTTACTTATGCATGGCCCAACTTGGTTCTTAACTCACCTGGCTTTTGGGCTATAAATTGAAAGAGAATAAACAAATTCAAATTGATTGTTATACTTGGCTGCCCAGGTGATTGAAATAGGCCTGTTTAGAGGCCCAAAACATTAATTAGCTTTACAGCGGAGGCGTTTTGTACGCAGGTAGTTTTAGAGATTCAAATATTAAATATTGGGCCTCTCCTTCAGGCCCAGTTGCGTCACTTTAGTCTTTGTATTTAGTTACTAGATTTTAAATTCATAGCCCACATCTAGTCCTTATGACCTTAGTCAATTAGTAAGGCCCTCAAAAATAATTCTAGGAAGGCCTTCTTAAATAACATAATAGTTCATGACCCTTCAACCTTAGTCTAGCATCCTTTAAAAATAAAATCGAGGTGCGTCGCGCCAAACAAAAATCATAAATTGCGTGGCCCTCCTAAAATACTTCTATTAAAATCCTTAGAATTTGGGACGTGCCATTTAGCGAATTTCATGGCCTCCCGCAAAGTTAATAACACGCTAGCTGCTTTAGGCCCGACATTTAATGATATTACCTTCTTAAAATACGGGTGCACATTTATGTGACCCAAATCCAAATCTCAACGAAGTCGAAATGTGTCAAAAACCGCGGGTGCAAATATATGACGTGGTTCGAGACGCGTTTTCACGACGTTGCAATTCTCTTTAAAAATAATAATAAAAGCAGTTTAAATTTAAAAAGCACATAAGTTAAAACATGTATTAAAATCAAATTTTTAGCCAATTATAATAATTTAAGCGACCATGCTAGAACCACGGGATCCAGGGGTGCCTAACACCTTCCCTCGGGTCAACAGAATTTCTTATTCAGAATTTCTGGTTCGCAGACTCCAAATGGGAAGTCGAAATTTTCCTCGATCTGGAATTCAAGTTAAACCGGTGACTTGGGACACCAAAAGCCAATCCTTTCCCAAGTGGCGACTCTAAAACTAAATAAATAATCCCATTTCGAATAATGTCACTTTAAATGGAAAAACTCCCTTATACATTATCCTTCGGGTAGGTGTGTAAAAAGGGAGGTGTGACAATGTCTAACAAAATTTTAAGTATAAGTAAAACCATAAATTAGCATATATATATATATATATATACTAGATAGGGTTGCCCCTGCCATGCACAGGCCCAACGTATTATGTATTGTGATTTTTCTTGATGATCCAAACATTCTACTACTCTACTACTTCCATGTATCTATTACAACAAAGATATTATTGATGCAACACCCACAAAATAGAGGAAATCTGTGTCTAAAAGCACATCACAAGCACATTTTGACCCATCGTTCCCTTTTAAGTATCAGCTACATTGGCCAGCTCAGAAGTTACTCTTGTTATACTCGAAACAATAGCATAGTGAACAGAACAACATAGGAGAAGTTGTTTATTACCTTCAAAAGACAAGCAAACATCAATCGTCAATATAGATATGTGGGGGCATTTGCATCTATACTCGCTTTTTGTGCCACATTTTAACCTGTGCCCGCTTTGCAAAAAAAATTACAACCCGCTTTTTCACATAACTTCAGCACACGGGGCTGAAGTAGCAGAGGCAATTACACAAAACTTCAACATTTTAGTAGCCGGGCCTGAAGTTCAGCTCTAGAGCTGAAGTTTTTTTTTTAACTCGCGAACTTCAGCTCTAGAGCTGAAGTTTGCCAGTTATAAAATAAAAACTTCAGCTCTAGAGCTGAAGTTTTATTTTATAAGTTTTTGTTTAGTAACCGGGAAACTTCAGCTCTAGAGCTGAAGTTTGCCAGTTATAGAATAAAAACTTCAGCTTTAGAGCTGAAGTTTTTGTTTAGTAACCCGGAAACTTCAGCTCTAGAGCTGAAGTTTTCAAGTTATAAAATAAAAACTTCAGCTTTAGAGCTGAAGTTTTTGTTTAGTAACCCGGAAACTTCAGCTCTAGAGCTGAAGTTTTCAAGTTAAAAAATAAAAACTTCAACTCTAGAGCTGAAGTTTTCCAGTTAAAAAATAAAAACTTTAGCTCTAGAGCTGAAGTTTTTGTTTAGTAACCCGAAATTCAAGTTATAAAATAAAAACTTCAGCTCTAGAGCTGAAGTAGTAACCCGAAAATTTCACCTCTAGAGCTGAAGTTTCCCAGTTATAAAGGGAAGCTGAAGTTTTTTAAAAAGTGGGTACAGATGCAAACAAAAAGACAAAGCGGCTACGGGTTAAAAAGGGGCGCCCAAATAGGGCGCCCCGTGCAATTTTTACTAGATATGTGAGAAGAAATAAGGATAGTACAGAAGCACTCTCAGATATCCAATTGTTTATGGCAATTTAAAAATTTAAAGTATAATATTGAGCAGTTGATTCCTTATACCCATTTTCAAATTCCCGACCAATCAAAAAGTACATGAAAAGGGCACACAAATACTTTCACAATTGTATTTTATATGAAGCCAGTAGCTAAAGATTTTGACACCTAAATATAGACTCAAAGATTCCATAGTTTGACCCTTCCCTGCTGAATCTCAGATTGAATGGTCACTTTTCTTTTATAGGCTGTCTCACAATGATACCTACTTAACTTAAAAGTACAGTAAACCTATCTTTTACATATCGCATATAAAAGTTATGCACGAACTATATTTTTCTTTCTATATGAAATATTTTGTTAGTAAATAGCTTACAAACACGTTTCTTGATTATGGATCCGGAGAAACAGTATTACCAACAATTTTGTTTTGATCCTAAAAGTTTGTTTCTAAAAGGCATATTAAAGTAAATGTGTTTTGGCTAGCAAAAAGTTGTTTCTTATTCTTTTCTTATTCTTTCTCTTACAAATTGTAAGAAAATAGACCAATTGCTTTCAACAAAAGAAAAACCAACATATTCAATTAAAATAAATGATTAAGAATATTTGAAGTCATTTTATTATTTTTACCAATTCTTTCCAAGAAAGGGAGTCATGAAATAAATCACTAATCCAACAAAGAAAAGGTCTACAAGTTCCACGTTCAATTATCTAGCCTTACAACCTTTTAAGAAAAACTAAAAGTTTAAATTTAGCCTCCTATTTAACCATTCATGAATTTTTATTTATCATTTATTAGGTTCCTCCTCAACTTGAGAAGACCAAAGCGGGACAAATATTTATTATGAATATAATATTTATATGTACATAGGTGGACATGTTTGGGGAAGGGGTTAAGGGGCTAATGGATATTGAAGATACATATAGATCATAAAAGTTCAATTGTAATATCCTCAGGCTAAAAATAGATATATTCCATGTATTAATCAATTAGCGAAAAATTTTAACATCAAGTACTTCAAGTACTAACACCTATAATTTTGTAATCAAGACTGGTATCACCTTAACTAATCAATCATACTTAATTGTAATTGGGCGACTTACAGATTTTTGAGAGGCTATGCAGAAGAATGACACCAAACTTGATACTCCAACCAAGTGAAGCATATCAAATGTGTTGTCAATCCTCCATACACCTGAAAGCAAAACAAATGATTGCATAAGAGATATAAACAATGGTGAGGGAAGAGGCATATTATATATAAAGTCGTTCATTAACCTTATTAAATCCAACATTTTAAATAGCAATGTACTAATGGTCTTCCTAATTTAATTAGGCTCTTTTCTTATCATAGTTCTAATGGTCAATCGTACATTTCCCTTCTCGTGATTGTTAATTAAATTCCTCATAACCTATTTTCCCAGTAAAAACATTCTATCTCACAAATATTCTTTGCGACATAAAGATAGTATCCAATGGAAGTTCAAGAACCTTTTTCCCGCTCCAACTGTCCAATAATTTTGAGGATTAGCTCTTCTGATGCAACAAATCTGAAAGGTAGTAGCACTTTCATAGCATGATAATCCTAAGTATTATAGCTTGATTGTTTTCGCACCTCAAATGGTAGAGCGAGTACACGATATTTCAATAATAGCTCATGATCACATTTATACCAAGTCATAGGCTCAGCATTTTTTAATCAGCTAATAAAGTTAAGACCTTGTAGAGACAAATTATAAAAGAAACTACTTATTTCCTTGAAGCAGATTCACTTGCAGGCTTTGCAAAGGTTCGATTTCATGAGAAAAGTTAAAATAGTTTCTCAAGGTTGGTAGTTCTTACCACTTCACTTATTTGTTCAACTAAATTTATGTCTCGACTATCTTCGGAGTAACTTGATTCTGAGAAATGATTCAAATGAGAAACTATATTTCCAATATGGAGATGCTTTGGGATTTAAGTGGCGTATTCAGCGCAAAACTTAATAATAAAATACTTACAACTCTTTCTTTATAAATAATTTTCTTCTTAGCCTGGCGTAATTTTTCTAGAATAAATGAATCCCAAAGAGAGATGGAAATAGTTTTCAGCATCCCAAATGCACTATTTCGTTATCTGGTAGCATTTAGTAGTATACTCATATCGAGAACAAAGGTAAAAAATTTAAAAAAAAGACACTCTATTGAGAAAGAGCAACAGCCATACCATTATTTAAATTTTACACGAATTCCTCAGTCCCTACACTGTTCGTAACACGAACAGTTACCAATCCTCTCCTTAAGAAAGTATGGTAGCAAGTCATTAAGTAAATGCAATTATATTATAGAATTTTGAATCTAACCATGATTTGGTAGCTTACCTTGAAGGAGCAACTGTTAGCTGAGTATACAATGTCCTAAGAGGCAACACGCCTGGCCTCTACGATATACATATCTACATCCAATTTGACAACTCTACTATGAAGTTTTGTTGACTTTGTTCAACTCTAACTGAGTTTCAAAGAAAAGATTCACATATAGCATTTCATAATGCAACTCTCTACGTCACAACTGTTTTTTTTTTCATACAAGACAATATGTGATTAATTGAATACTGGCATTTGGAGAAAAAAAAGGTAAAGTGAATGAGGGTATTACCTTGCTTGTGAAGAATGTTTGTAGTTTTTGGTGTCGCTAAAGTCCTTTTCAAATTAGAGCACCAAAGAGTTGAATCCGGTAAAAAAGTTATATTTAGAAAAATCGGACAAATATTCCATCAGTAGCAATTAGATGAATAAAATATCTATAGATAGTAAAAAATATTAATTAATATCATACCTATCTTAAATACAACGAAATGTTCTCACGCTGAACTCGATACATAAATCTCCGTTGGCAAAACAAAATTGTGCAAAAGTGCATAATTAGAAATTAGAGAAAGTGACATATAAAAGAACTAAAGACTAAGAGAAAAAAAAAAAGTTCCTTGAATGGTTATCCCAAACTAAAAGTAGCAAATTCCATATACGAAAAGTTGTTATTTATTTTTGGGGTAATTAAAAAAAGCATAGTTAATCATTCCTATAACTTCTCTTTGTCATAATAAGGTGTTCTCAAGACAATTAGTACTAATTTAATATGTCAAAATACAGAGGACCAACATATATTCAACAACACATTTCGGATAGTAATTATGTCGCTTATGTTGATATTAGTTTATATGCAAGCGCAACAATATATTCATCCTTTCATCTATGTCTCCAACCAGCACAGTCAAGAATGACAATGTCATCCCTAGAAATAGTGACCTAGCAAAAAAGAATGCAATTCGACATGACATAATTGAAGAGCTAAAGAATTGCTTCGGAGAGCTACTTAGGACCTAGGCAAAGACAATTAAGTTATATAATATTTCTAAGAGTGCCAATTTCTGAAATTAGCTTTTCATCCCATTGCCGTCACGCCCCAAAATCGAGGGACGCGACCGGCGCTCAACCGGAGGACCCCAGTCAACCGAACCTGGAATTGCCTTTCCTATCTCACGCGTTACCCCGTGATTTCAATATACATTATTCCTGTGAAATAGCCATTTATAACTTAAGCATAAACTTACAACTTGAATTCATTTCTACTTTTTATCATTACCATCATATGATACCCAATACTTACAACATTTACCAACGTGGATCATGATTCCGAACCGTACCATTACTTACCCAAAATACATATGTACACCACACACATTGTGTCTACAGAGCCTCTAAGGATACAAACGGATGATGCAATACTTGCCGGTGACAAGGCTCCGACTATACCTTACACAAATGCCAAAGCAAGACTCCGGAATAAAAGCGGCATGAGCCACACAGGGCCCTGAGAGAAAAGGGGCTCACCAATTCAGCTGACGGAAAGTGAAAGAGTGCTACGGACGGTGGACTGGAGTACCTGCTATAGATCCACCTACAATCATAACACGAATGTAGCGCCCCCGACAAAAGGGACGTCAGTACATTTGAATTGTACTCGTATGTATGAACAAACTTTACCCCAAGTAAACTCAAACAATACACAAGTAATGTACAGTAATAGAATCAACAATTAAATGCGCATGAAAGGAACAACCAAAGTCAAAACAAGTTTCACAATCTCTCCTTTTTCCCTTCCAACATCATTTCATTACATCAACGATTTCACAACTTTCACATACGTTCATTTCAATAGTGATTTCGATCACTTTTCCACCCTTATTACCTCGGCCATCCTTATCACCCCAACCCACAATTTATCATTTTGTGTTGCGGCGCGCAACCCGATCCCACCGGACAATCACATTTCACACAACAACAATAGTCCACAGTTCAACCACATGGCTTCAGGCCATCCAGAATATCATTTCACAACAATAACAATTCACAAAGAGTTTTCATTTGTATCAATTACGAGTTCTTTCCATCATTTACTACACAGCCCTTACCACATAAACACATTTCCACACAAACATGGTTTGTAGCCCTTTATCTACACCATCATATCGGAACATTTAACCAACAATGTTCAAAAGGCATATTAATCGCAAGAGTTCAAGAAATAGGCCATCCTGCCTTAACACCCGTGAAGCAACCGATTCACAAATAGTCCACATAAGTAACACATACCAAATACTCGTTCACCAAACAAGGTGACTCTACAAAGGTTAAAGTTAGCCATACATACCTGGAGCCGAATTTCCTTTTAACTTCTACTTTCAATTCACCAAACGGTCTAGCAACGTCAATCTAGTGCACAAGTTAACACACATTTCTTAGAATTGAAGCTCACAATTACTACCCGAACATTTTTAGGTTATCAGCCCTTCTTTTGCAAACCTCTACTTCTACCCAATTTCCCTTACTAGGTTTTAGGTTTTAAAAGACATGCATGTATGTTTCAACTTTTTTTTCAAGAATCGATGCATGAAAATCCCCCTTTATGTTTAAACCTAAAAATCAATGAAAAAGGGTTAAGGATTTTACCTACAAGAATGGGGATGAAGATAATCACTTTGAAATTTCCCGGCCCGGATAGTTTTGAAGAATCAAATTCGATGAAGATGACTTTCTCTCTCAAGAACCCTCTCTTCCTCTCTCTTATTTTGTTCATAAAACTCGTTAAAATGAGGGGTTGAGGTGTTTTATTAAAAAGGGGGTCGGGTTTAAAATTTAGAAAAATAGGTACCCGAGTCAGATATGCGGTCGCACTTTGCGACCGCAGAGATGAAATGCGGTCCGCATAATGGACCGCAAAAGTGCTCCAAAAAATCCAATCCTACTGTTTGGGTCTGCGGCGGAAATGCGGTCAGTATACCCATTTTGCGGTCGCATAATGCACCGCATTTTTTACCTCAAATTTGACTGACACATTAACTCACTTTGCGATAGAAATGCGGTCCGCATATCAGTTATGCGGTCGCATAATGGACCGCATTTTGACCTTAATTTTAACCAAACCACTGACTCAATCTGCGGCAGAAATGCGGTCCGCATACATAATTTGCGACCGCATTCTGGATCGCAAAATAACACTTTTCTGGAAAAACTTAGTTCTTTGATTTTTAAATACTTAGATCAGTACGATCGGTCCGAACCGCCCCAACACATATTCGGAACCTGACACTACAAGCTACTAGGTTTTGAGCACAATTTTTTTTACGGGGCCTTACAATTGCTTCATCATGCAAGGTAGTAAAATAATAAAGCAACTAATTAATGAGCAACTAATTAATGATGTCTAAACAACCTAAAGCCTAAAGTCAATAGATACTTTCTTATTTTATTCAATGTAAAAGAGAAACATATAATCCTCTTCATTTCAACAGGGGCAACAATAATGAAAATATAGGAAACAGAGTATTACCTCTACTTCAGTTGTTTATTACCTCTACTTCAGTTGTTTAATATACCAGTGTAAGCGATCCCTCACATTACCCTGGAATAGATGAAGACAGAGCTGCAACAGTTGATGAGAAAATCACCTTACCAGATGCTCTGCTGGTACTTGTTTCTGCCCTTCCTTGTGATCTGTAAACATCGGTATTGTATTGCATGGTTCATAAACTTCATGTATTTGATCCTTCTTTTTTTCTCCACGAAATCAGAATGTATTCACTATTCCCTCGGAATGGATTAATGGATATCCCTTACTCATATTTGAATTTCATTCTGTCTGCGCGAAACTACACAGTTGAACAGAACCAAGCTTGAACTGGAAAAAGTAAAGCTCAAAGCCTCAAACCATAGAGAACTTAAAACTCAAATCTAGAAATTTAACAATTAGACCAGTGAAGCCCACAGAGAAGAACAAACTAATGATGTGGATATTGGAAACTGATCTATCTAAGATTTGGTGCAGGGTGTAGGTTCTGGAAACATGAATCAGTACAAATGAAATAAGGAGACACATGTTATAATGCATAGTGCATGTGTCTTTATGACAATGAATGGTTTGTTTCTACATCTATCTCGATACTAAGTTTTCTCTGATTGTCAAAGAGAAACTCAATCTGGTAAAATCACCTATGCAGTATCCAACACTCAAGAAAACTAATTTCGGGTGTAAAAAATTGAATTTGTGATATTTAACTGAGGGAGGTTTAGAAGTTTTAGTTATCAGGAGCATCAGTTGCCCAAACATCTATGAAATTCAATTGTTGTGTTTTTAGCCTCCCATTTAAAATAATGTATCCCAATCTCATTCAGATATATATACTGTGTTTCAGTTGCAAGATGCCCCCTTGGTTGAGTTTTCATACACTTTCTTGACAATATAGATGTATATATAGTCCTTAGAGTGAACAAACATGCGCAGAACACCTTGTAGTGTATTAGTGCTGGTGGAACAATACTTCTTTTTCCTGAAAAAACAAAACAATACTTCTTTTAAGTTCTTTCAATCCCTGTACAAAATTTATTTGATTACTGATAGGGATGGAATACCTGAAAAATGTTGTCTAATATACACGAATATTTCCAATAAAAGTTCTATATGTTTGCAAAATGAAAAGTCTGAAACATGAAATAGGATGCAGGAAATAATTAAATCATGATAACAAAGTTATAACACTTCTTTATGTATCAGTCAAACATATTTAAATCAATACCAGTATGAGTTATAACACCAAACAAAAAATATAGAATAGCTACATTATCAACATACCTATTTACATGTTCCGACATGTCCAACTCCACATTGTCAATATTTTGACTTTTCTGTTTCTTCTTTTTCTTGGTTGATATACCCAAATTGCCAATGCCTAATAAAAGCTCTTCCGTTATCACCTCTACCATCCTTGAGCAAGAGATGCCGGCGAGGATTCCTGAAAACAAATATCAAACATCATATGAACGAAATAAAAATGACAATTTCTTAGCTTTCAGTATATCAGATTGATTCCATTTGAATTGCTTAATTGTCTCTTGAAAGAAAGAATGTTTACAACATTTTACTACAGTCAATTATCTCTGACCTTCCATAACTAAAATTAAAGTAATCACAAAAAATTTTATTGCTCAATTAGGAAGTGGGAAGTTCATCTCTTACCTCTAAAATATGAGTCACCTACAAATCACTATCAAATAGCTTCTCCATTAAAGGCCTTTCTCCTTTCTTCCCCTTGAAGTGGAAAAAAAATTCAATGTGCATCCGAAAACCTTTCAATTGCTTGAACCATCTATGAAATGAAAGTTTAATTGAAGGTTTAGAACCCCAATTTCAAACCCTAGCCTAAAATCTCTAATTTCTTGATGAAATTATAATGTAAAAACATTACCTGCACACAATTTAGGAATCTTTGTTTGAAGTCGGAATTTGGTTCGCACACTGCAAATCTGCAATGGAACCCAAATAGAAGAAGTTGAAATCAGTAAGCAAATTCAGAAGAAAACTCACCAGAAAGAGGGAAGTAAAAAGCAGAAGAAAGATGGAGTGAGAATTGAAAATTTGAGTAGTTTTCTTTGATGGCAAGAAGAACCAAAGAAAGGCCAAAAGCTAAACACACGTGGTGTTTCAAGTTGGACACCTGGAAGTCTTCAAGTCAGTACTTTTACCATAATACCCCATAAAGCAAATGCTATTTTACGGTAATACCCTTCGTCCTACGAAGGACCTTTGCTTATTATATAGTTAAAAAATATATATAATTATAATAAAAAGTATTCCATAGAGGAGAATTCTAAGTGGCAAAATAGATAGTGTGAAGGATAAAAGGGGAAGAATAACAGTTGTTCAAAGTTGAGAAAGGAGTTTGATTTTTAAAGTAAAGTTGGGAATATAAATAATTTTCACCCTGTACAAATGGGGTATCAAAAGTCATATTTACTCAGGCAGTTTCAGTTTATGTGAATGTATTTTAGTAATCATAAAGTTCAAAAGAAAGAAGAAAAGAATTTAAAATTTATGGTTTACAATAATGCTATAGACATTTCTGTAGCTATAACTACGGGTATACAAATGAAACCAGCAAACAACACCAACCTGAAAATCCAAGCCAAATCGAGAAAAAAAAAATCCGACTATGCTTTTGTTTGATTTGGTTTGGTGTTGGGAAAAATAATCCGATCATAATTCGTTTGGTTTGCCCGAAACCAAACCAACCTGACATTATAATATAGAAGGTTTAAATATATTTAATACATAAAAATATCTATTGTAGTGTAGTTTATAAATATTTCTTAAGCTTTTTCATAATTTTATTTCAAGCTTGGACTTATAATTTTAGGGTCTCCAATAAGTTTTATAGTCCATAAATATTAGTAACTCAAATAAATCCTAAACCAAAATTAAATCGATACTAATGCTAATAAAAGATATCCAATTCAATTGTACTATGAATGAAAATAGTGTTGGATATCTATTTTTTAGTTTTTCCATAATTTAGATAAAATGCATCTTATTTTTCTTTTAGTATTTAGTCATGTAAATAATAGTACTTATTAGTCGTACTTATTTTAGCAACTTAGTAATTGTAAATTATGTTTGTTTTCGTTATGGCATATTAATAATATTTATTTTATGCAATTTTATTATCTTATTGTCGAATATTTTAGTATAATGCCATGACTCATCTCATATTTTTATGCATGTTATTTTATTGAAAAATACCTTATACAGTTATGTCTTACTAGGATTAAAGAAATATTTGGATATGAAAAGAATCTCGAAAAAATCGAAAAACTCGAAAAATACGAGATTAAAAAATCCCGATTTTTATTGGTTTGGTTTGGTCTTTAGATTTAATAACCCGGCACAATTGGTTTGGTTTGGTAATTAAAAAATTCTAACGAACCCCACCTATGTACACCCCTAGCTATAACTATCTCATTAAATGGTGAAATAAGAAGTTGAAAGTTAAATTATTTCAAACACAACGATGCAATTATCAGGGACGCGCTCTACCACTCATCTAATAGCCTGTCAAAATATGAAAATGTTTCAATTTTTTTAATAGACTAAAATAAGGAAGATGTGTCACAAAAATTAACATGGACGGGATAAAAAATTTACAACTCTTATACACACATTGTTTTCCAAGTTCAGCGGTGCACCCCAACTTCTATAAGTGTGTCCGCCTAGTAATATATAACTCTATCTTATCTCAAGACAAGAAAGAGATATATGGAATGGGTTATTTTTTCCGATTTCTAATACAAGGCTTTAAACCAAACATAACAAGATAGTCACTAAACCTCGAGTACTATACATGGCGAGCTGCCCAATCAACATTGCAGTAATTGCTAAAAATTTAGACAGCTAGACATGAAGATGCCCACGCTTGGATCAGCCTTCAAGCACCTAAAGGAGGGCATAAGTTGGCTAAGAAAAGGGACAATAGAAGAAATGCCTCGGTTGGTGTTGGCAAGGAAGATTAATTAATTCCATATGAGCTAGATGTTTACCTCTAAAAATGTGAGTAACAAATAAAGATATTTAGTGGTTTTAAAGATACGTGATATATCATAATACTAGTGATTATACAATTAATATTGAGCTTAAGTAAGAAGAGATAATGAACCAAATCAATGTTATTGAAACAGTAGGGGCCTCGTGCTCGGCTACTCAGGGACCTCGAGGTCAGCTAAGACCAATAAAGTATGAACAATAAAGTAAAGGCAATAAAGCTGAAGAATAATTATTGAGCACGTTAAACAAGAGAAGAATAGAATGTTCTATTGCAGTCAATAATCTGATTTACATAATGATTGGGGTCCCCTTTATATAGGAGGGAAAAATTCCAATATAGTACATTCCTCATAATGGTAAAGAATTATATCGGTACAGGTGTACAACGACCTAGTACGGACCTATACCATCTCGTACAAACCTTATCCTTTAATTAATGCTCTGGTCCACGTGTCTTTAAGAAATTCCCGCTCTTTCTTTATTGACTTCGAGATTGTGCTGCCCTCGATATAGGTCGTGCCAGGCCTTCAATCGGCTTCCTCAAGGTGGGTGTCCCTTAGCCGGATCTAACCTCTACTTCGAGTCTCCCGGACTCGGACCTATAGCCAGATTTAAGATTTCAAAATCACGCTCCTCGATTTTTACTGTATACACTAAACTATAGGATAAGTCAAAATTCTGTGTGGTCCAGTGTATGCTAAACTCGTCACTTTGTTTACCCTAAAAATTGAATAATAATTAAATTTATAAGTGGTTTTAAGAATATGCGATTTCACTTGGAACAAACTGAGAAATATGAGAATCAATGTTAGAAATTAACTGTAAAATAAGCAAACCAATATAATGAGTGATTATGGCCCTCGAGCTAGATCACCTTTGAAGCAACTCAGTACGCTATCGGAAAGTATAAACTAAACAACAGAGCTTAAGAGAGAAAATGCAATGTATTGCTTTGTTATGCGTTGATGTGATACGTATTACAAATGATCAGACCCCCTTTATATAGTAGGGGAATCCTACCTTTGGTACAACCTAAATATAGTAAGAAACCTCATGACTGGCTAATTAAAAGGCCTTTCATGATACGTGCCGAGATTTCCATCGTGACCCTCGCCCGATTGCGAATATTTCAGTTTTCCATTATTTGGCTCGGTAAGCTTTACCCGAGCTTGTTCGATCTCTATCCTGCCTGGCCCTAATATTATCCAACCTCGATCTCGATCGGTCTTCGAGTCTCGAGCTCGGCAGTCTAACTTTGGGCCGTGATCCGATATGACATAGGGTCGATTCTTGGCCTGCTTCGTTCCAGGTCAAGCCCGATTTTGACCGTATACAGATAGTCCCCTCGTTTCTCGGAGAGAAGGCGCCGAGAAATGATATGATCTTTTCCAATCCCATCTCGATGGGTCATGGTACAAGCGACGAGCCGGACCATGACGCCAGCAACAAGTGGGCACTGAAACGTCCCGTCGGTTCGGATGTCGAGGCATTGAATGCATGTCAGTCGTTGTCGGCAACTACCGGTTCTGAACCGTCATCTTCAACCTAAAATGTTTCTTCCTTATTTTGCCCATACTTTACTTTCAAATCTTCTTCTCCAAAATCCTTTGCCTCCCCTAAAGCTCAGAGCTTTTAGATCTTTGGTGTTTCTTTGCCTCTTACATCACAAAATACCAAACGTTTCCCCTTAGTTCCCATTCTTCTTCACTCGCAAAAGTAAAATCGCTAAGACTTCAAAAACCGTTCCACAAAAGGAAGTTGTTTCCTAGTCTCGGCCGGCCGACCAGCAACCAGCGGCGGAGCCACGCCTTGAAGAGTTCGTTCCCGGAGGGTGCGTCCTTGACTCCGACTTCAAGATTGAAAAAACTCCCTCGATCTCGGGTCGATGCGAGCCCATGTCGAGCTACATATGCACGATCACCAGTGATCTCCTCGACCAAGTTAAAGAGGACTGCAACTGGGTTGACAAGCACGTGGTGGTGCCCTCGCCTGAGGAGTTAATCACTACTCATGTGTAAGGGTTTCTAAGTGTTTACACTTACCCTTTCACCTTGGGTCCTTTGGACCCGGTCATTGTACACTTCTGCAAGAAGTAGGAATTGACCCTCGGTCAGATTCACCCCTCTTTCTGGAGGATAGTGATATTGCTCCCTTTTTTTGTGAGCAGAGTCAATGGGCTTCCCTTTACCCTCAATCACCTCGTACACCTATATAGCCACCGACTCTATCGCGGAGGACTAATAAAGCTTCAACGTCGGGCATCCAAGTCACCTTTCTCGAGCATAGATGAGGACAAGGACTAGGGCTGGATGGACCGATTTGTCCGAGTGAAGACCTCAGACTTGATCCCTGCCGAGAGCATGCCATTTCAGGAGAAATGGAATATGAGACGTAAGTATAACTCCATCTTTAATTTCTGCTTATTGTCTTCATTTTTTAATCTTTTCTTATCGATGTTTTACGTAGTGCAGCCGTTGCCTGGATGCCAGGTGTGATTCCGATGGTGATGCCCCCCAGTATTCGAGGTTTATCGAAAAGAAGCCTTGAATACTTGTTGAGTGACCCTTAGGTAGCATATAGGTATTGCTTCGTTAAAAACCTTGCTGGTAAAACCCATTTGGGATAAAACCCGATCTAAGGAAAAAATAGTGCAACACATGCTTTCAAACCTAAGGTCTTCGAGATCAGTAGTAATATCACTTGAGCATTGATATATTCCAATTATTTGGTAGTTGCTCGCCTTCCATTGTGCTAAGTTTATAAGATCATTTCCCTATGACTCCGAGGACACAGTATGGTCCTTCCCAATTAGGACCTAGCTTCCCTTCGTTTGGTTCTCGAGTGTTAAGAGTGACTTTCCTTAGGACTAAGCCCCCGACTCTGAAATATCGAAGGTTCGTCCTTCTGTTGTAGTACCTTTCGATCCTTTGTTTTTGCGCATCCATTCGAATTAATGCGGCCTCACGTGTTTCATCTAGTAGCTCGAGAGAGGTGTTCATCGCTTCATGATTTGAGTCTTCGGTGGCATGCTGAAACCTGGCGCTAGGTTCCCCGACTTC